CAGTTCAGAACCTTTTGTCTTCTCTTCTACTGTCTGAAAACATAAAACTTAGAATATACGAAACCATAATTCTGCCTGTGGTTCTGTATGGGTGTAAAACTTGGTCTCTGACATTAAGGGAGGAACACAGACTGAGGGTGTTCGAGAACAGTGTGTTGAGGAGAATATTTGGACCGAAGAGAGATGAAGTGACAGGAGGTTGGAGAAAACTGAGCTTCATAACTTGTACTTTTCTCCAAGTATAATTAGAAATATCAAGTCAAGGAGGTAAGATAGGTAGGGTATGTAGCACGAATGGGGAGAAGAGGAATGCATATAGGATGTTGGTGGGAAAGAAAGATGGAAAGAGACCACTGGGAAGACCAAGGCGTAGGTGGGTGGACAACATTAAGATGGATCTTAGAGATAGGATGGGACGGTGTGGATTGCATTGATCTAGCTCAGGAGAGGGACTAGTGGAGGGCTCTTGTGAAGACGGTAATGAACGGGTTCCATGAAATCTAGGAAGTTCTTGAGTGCTGCACAATTGGCTCAGCTCCATGAGTGAGTGAGTGATTTTTATTCGAGGAATCTGGATATTGACATTTTGTATGTCTTAACGATTTACTGTATTGTTGTGCATTTAGTTGCAACTTAACGGATTCAGCACAAAGCTTTTGGGGATGTAAACCTTCGAGTATCTGGCGACAGAAGTCTAGGTGTATGACGCTAATGGGCCGTAGCTCGTCTTGTGGAGAGGAGTGACAAGGGTGACTTATGAAGTAGATTTATTGTTTCTGTGTGCCGGTTTTCGTTTGTAAAACTGTTGAAGTTTTAACCGTTCAGCGAGGGGATGTGAATGGTCCAGGAAATCTAAATGGCCTAATGGGTCAGTTATAAGTGACCAGTCAGACGCAAGCTTTCTTATTGGCACGTCTGCATTGAACTGAAATCATTCAATACCCGACGACAACACATATATACAAAGGACTCGAGTTTTTTACTTCATTGGATCAGGCGTTTGTAACGTGCTCCTTCAAAATCTTAAATTTAACCCACCGTACATTTAGATACGCCATAACTACACGTCTTTGACAAGGCTCATTCCCAATCTACATACTTTCATTCGTTTAACGCCAAATTATTTGATTAAAAAAAGTAAAGTTATCCCTGTAACGCGCCATGGAGGCCCATAGGGTTGTGAGACGTGGAGGGTCCACATTATCTAGACAATCGGCTCACAGAGAGCGGTGAAGTTGTCAGCCTTACGCGCCGGCAGTTCTTTACCCCCCAGGAAGATTCCCGGTACTCAAATCTGTTAGAGGCTTAGCCGACCCCAGGACCATAGTGCAGCTGGAAGGATTAAATCAACTGAAAAAAAATCCACCTCATCGGGACTTGAACTCGCGACCTGCCGGCTTGTAGCATAGTGCCTCAACGAACTAAGCTACCGCGTGCTCCCAAAATAATTGCTATGTATTAAATTTTGGTGTTATTCGAGCACGTTACATCTCCATTGAAAACTTGTTATGTATATCAGGCTAATTTAGATGCATGGAAAGGTGTAAAGTGTTGGACGACCAATAAAGAGCAGCGTTCTTGCAACAACAGTGTTCATTCACCATCGAGAGGTTTATCAGGCTGCTCCTCCACCGGACCCTATCAGCTCCTACCACATCTCCTCATCCTGCTTACCTACCTATCTGCTACCTATCTATTTATGTCTTTACAGCTCTATGTTGGACCTCGGTCGCTTTTCAGTTTCTTGATCTTCTACACAGTCGGTAGGACTCTTTGGACGGGGGATCAGCCCGACGCAAAGCCGCTACATACACAAAGTACACCACAAACACAGAATAAACGCATAAAACCATCCATGTCTTGAGAGAGATTCGAACCCACGATCCCAGCAATTGAGCCAACGAGACAGTTCATACCTCAGACAGCGCGGCCACTTAGAACGACACATTTCATCATCCATTCACCCACTAATTTGTCGGTGAGGAGGAGGCTACCTGACATTATCTACTTCACGGGAGGTCAACCAACCTCTGGCGCCCAATCCTAACATCATTACCTACAGAAACCTCCCTAAATTCTCTGACAGCAAGTCCAATGAGCAAGGCGAAGGCATCAAGCCTCTTCTGTACATGAAGGCTACCAAAGGTCTTAACTAAGTTGAGATATTCCACAGCAAAACTGATGTGTGCTTGTCTGAATCTACAGAATTCTGATGGTAGCCGTCAAAGATCTTGACTTCCCCAACAAGTAAACTAATTTCAACGAACTGGGTAAAACGTTCCGCGTGGATGTCTAGTTGTATGTAGACAGAAGAGTTACTGCTCACCAGCTCGCGGTGGCCAAACATAATGCGGAGCTCTGAGAATCGCCATGATAAAGAAAGAAACATGTACCTCACATTAAAGGGCTTCAAAATGGATATAATTTATTCAGGTTCGTCTTTATCTATTTACCAAAGCAGGAAATAGCTATAAGATCTTGTTCGGGCCCTTTCACTGTCTTGTCTGTCTGCTGACGCTTCTCTGTCACACTGCTGCTGCATATTTGATACACATACGTGGGCCCTGTGCGCGTCTCACAAAAGTTCTCTTTCATTTGAACATTTTGCTTGCTCATCAAGTTTATTATTCGGAGGGTTTGGCTCCAGGCTTCACAACTCATATAGGCCTGCCGTTCTGGTATTACAGAAGGGAGTAAATGCTTTGCAGTCAAGGTCATTGCGTACAAAATGGTTCATCATATTCAGAAGGGTGTCACTAATGCTCAATTAGTAGCGTTTTACAAATGATTAGGGGTTTTAACGCGTATCTGATCAGTTTCAAACTGATGTTGAAGCTTGGGCCTACTATGGCATTCAGATTCATCGGGAGATGTACGCGACCAGCGAACCGGATTTTGCCTATTGTGGAAAGGACAAAACCAACCGACGCGTGTGGGAACCGCGTAGAGCTCGTATGGGCAGTTCAGACATGTTTCGCATTATATATGCTTACATAAGACGTTGCGTTTAAGATTGAATACCACTAAAAAAATGTCTCGTTTCAAGAAATTTGCACAATGTTAAAGAACTACGAGGGGGAGTCAGTAAATATGTCACAAATAGAAGCGAAACAGCTGTATCCAGGCAACAGACGCGCATGCGCATGTTTAGAGACTAGTTTCAGTAGTCAAAATGGCGACAGTGCTTGAGGAGTATATTACAGAAAGCAGTGTTCTGTTGTGAGTTTTCTGTGGGCAAAAGGACTCAATACAAAGGATATTCATAAAGAAATGCTTCCTGTTTACGGTGAGAAGTGTTTGTCGCGTAAAGCGGTTCACAACTTGGTCGAGAAACGTGGCAAAATTTCGCTAATGACGAAGATGTTGAAACGAAGGCGCGGAAGTGGCTGAGACAACAGTCAAACACGTCTATGCTGCGTGTTTAGACGCACTGGTAAAGCGATGGGACAAGTATATCAATGTTGGTGGAGGATATGTCGAGAATTTTTTTGTTCCGTGTTCGAATATCACGTTTTACGTTTTATATCCATTTGTGGCCTATTTACTGACTCTTCCTCGTAGTCCGTATTGAAAACACATCAAGTAAATATCGACACTGAACATATACAATGGGGTACCCAAAAGAAACCGAACTAATTTTTTTGTGGGCAGAGCTTTTGTAGTACCGCGTTTTGCCGCTATGAGCACATAGAGCTAACATTCCTGAGTCGATAAGCCGACTACCGTTGCTTCAGAAGGTAAGGACTAGTTTCGGCAGAGTTTATAGTGACAACTGTTTTGTGTGATCGTCGTTTTTGCAATGGCTGATTTTCTTGAACAGCGTGCGGCGGTGAAATTCTGCTTTTTGCTCGGGAAAATTGGAACAGAAACTCTTGAAATGTTAAAAACGGCGTACAAGGACGATGCTATGGGGAAAACTCAAGTGTTTGAGTGGTTTTCCCGTTTCAAAAATGGTGAAATGTCAATTGATGACAAACCTCGTTCTGGTCGTCCTTCCACGGCCCGAACACATGAAAATGTTGAAAAAATTCGTGAAATCGTCAAGGAAGATCGACGACGGACCATTGAAGAAATTGTGGAGCTGTCGGNAGTTTAAAAAAAAATAAGTTCGGCTTCTTTTGGGTACCCCCTCGTACTTCTGTAAGTGATCGGAGCAAATTCGGACACTTCTTCAAAATATGTTTCATATAACAAACTGGCATTTCTCAGAAATCGATATGAACTCTCGGGGAGGGGGGCGCATCCTGATACACTGTAACTCCCTGTTACTAATATGACGACTGTGTAAACGTCTGAGGTGAGAGTTTTCATTTTATTGAGGAAATGGATAATAACCTGGCAACAAACCAAAATATTCCGGTTCGATGACGATACCTAATGAATTGTTTTACTATATTTGCAACTTACAAATACACCTACAAGATAAAAAGGTTAAAGCTATCCCTGTAACAGGCCGTGGAGGCCCATACGGTTGAGACGTCGAGGCTCCCACATATTCTAAACAATCGGCTCACAGATGGCGGTAAGGTTGTCAGTCTTACGCGCCGGCCGCCCCTTACAGCCCAGGAAGATTCCTGGTACTATTTCTGTTAGAGGCTGGGTCGACCCCAGGGCCATAGTGCGGCTGGAAGGAACAGGTCAGCTGAAAAATCCAATGACCTCGCTGGGACTCGAACCCGCGGCCTTCCGGCTTGTAGCACTGTGCCTCAACCAACTACGCTACCGCGTGCACCCCGAATACACCTACTAACCATTACAATCTATAGTCTTTCGAAACTATAAAATACGCCAAATGAACAATTTTGATGTGTGTTAAATCCAAGACTCTATTCTACATTTACAAGTTGGATGTCTTACTGAATCAACTGTCCAGGAAGAACTAGAGAGAGATCCGCATGTACGACACACCAGGGCAACAGCCACACACACAATACACACGATACACTGGGGTAACAGCCATGCACACATGAGATCGGACCAATTCCGGCTCCCTGACTCACCTTGCGTCTCCGGGCGGTCTCAGCCACGACGTCATTCCTCTTGACCCACACCTCCTCCGTGGAGTCATAGTCGATTGTGGAGCTGGAGGACGCCTGAGACTTCATCTCTATGAGGGAGCTATCGAAGAAACGCTTGTCGAAGTGCGGGGACTGCAGGGGCGATACCCGGTGGTTATAGAGCATGGGCGACAGCGGAGGGAACGCCCCTCCCGTGTCCACGGAGGGCGATGATACCGTGTGGCGTCTCGTCAGTGACGCCGCGGGTGACGAATGTTGTTGCTGAACCGTGGGATCCTTGCGGCTGCCGGCACTACTGTTATTACTGGTGTTATTAGAGGTCTCAAGCGATGACGACGACGATGTTGACGTTGTATCTTCTGGACCGGAAGTTGTGCTCGTGCCCTGGTCATTTCCGTCATCACTCTTGTCATCATCATCATCGTCATCTTCGTCCTCCTCCTCGTCTTCCTCGTCCTCTTCCCCTTGCTGAGCTTCCTCTTCTTCTTCCTCCTCGACCTCCCTACACTCCGAAAGCCGTCGTCCCTCCAGGATTGGCCTCAGGTAGGGCGACCTCAACTCTTGCTTGGGTAAGCGGTTCACGTGATGTAAAAAGTAGTGTTGGAACCAGGCCATGTCTTCGTCTGAGTCATCGGCGTTGTTGTTCCCATGCAGCAACTCTTTGAGGGCCGCCAGCGAGCTGATGGTGTTGTAATTTGTGGCTGTAGGGGACACATCGTCCTCATCTTCGAGTGACTGCTCCTCGAGTTCTTTTTCCGCTTCCTCTTCCTTCGTAAGGCTGTCATGGCTGCCATTCTTGTTGCGGCCTTCTTTTGTTTTTTCCATCTATTACTACAGAGGTTGCCGCTTAGAGAACACGCGAAACTGAGTCACACTGCTGCAATGTAGGACTGTTCCCAGCGCTGGCAACACTCCTGCTCCCTTACTACGGATATGTGATAAAGAAACTGGGCTCGTAAAAAGCAAACAATTCTGTGCCGTTCAACTGTAACAGTTATCTTGCAGAGCAAGCACAGCGCTCCCATTTAACAGGCTCCGCTAACAATGTCTCACAACAACAATCACCTTCAAACAGTTCGTATCCAGGCACCACTTATCAAGGCGCAGTACTTGAACGCTTTTTACACGCACGTTCACCATATAAGAAATCCAAGGCCACTAAAATACGAGCTATATTTTATTACGTAGAAAAATAACGACTTAATAAAAAAGGATTCATAAAATATGTTTATAGCATAAAATCTAGCTTGAAATTTTCAAAGTGTGTAATAATAAAGTAAAATATTCAATGTTCACACCATGTGATACACAACTATTTTTTAAAGAACCGCGTTTAATTATTGCAAAAACCTGTAAACACGCAATAAACGCCGCTTAGGTAAACTATTTACAATATTGTAAATGGAAAATGTCTGTAGATTTGATCAAAACCTCCCACAAAATACACGCTCTCCCATGCATAGGCCATTCATTATCACAAGGTTCATCATTGCAAATTAATTAACATCTATCTCAGTTACTATGAATTCTATTATCGGAATGGGCACAATCAGTAGTGAGATACCGACAAACAAGCCACAAATATTTAGGCAGTATCAATTAAACACAGCTACATTCGCACCACAGGAAGTCACACGACACAAAAACCAAGCTTCCAACAAAACAAGAGTAGGAAATTAAAAGTATTTAAAAAATTCAGCCACGATCCCATGGCAGTTTCACACACACACAAACCTGACCCATGATTTAATTTTTCGCTAGCGAAGTACTGGCCGGAACACAGAGAAACCGCACACTGTCAACGGAAGAAGTCGACATATGCATGAGACTATCATAGCGGGATTGATGTTCCTGATATAAAATAATAATTAACATTAACTGTGACGCTGAAGCACACACCGCTCCGCTAGGAATGTGTAGAACAGCGAAACGCGGTTCCAGCTGTGGCGGCTTGCCGACTAGAGCGCTGACGTAGCTACAGGGAAGGTGCCAACATGACAAATTCAAGATATCAAAGTACGCTAGAATATAATCCAGAGCCGTGACTGCACGGCGCGCCGCGAAATAAACAGTCCAGCGACCCTTCCTGTGGTCTAGTGGTCAGAGTTCCTGCCTACAGATCCAGAGGTCCGGGTTCGATTCTCAGCGCTACCAGATTTCCTGAGAAGTAGTGGCCCTGGAACGGGGTCCACTCAGCCTCGTGAGGAGCTCTTTCAAGGAAATAGCGGCTCCTGTCTAGAAAACCGAAATTAACGGCAGTGGATTTATTGTGCTGACCACGGGACACCCTCTATCCGCAAAACGTTGGCACTAACTTCGCCGACAAGCGGCGGTCGCCCGGTCGGTAGAGTTGGCCTGCGGACTAGTACCACGGACAAAATTACAGTCCAGTGAAATCTTGTTTTAGTTCGGGATAAGGCATTCCCAATACAACTCTTATCTAGTAGGAGCTGTTATGTCCTTTGGTCTTTGCAACGGAAGAAAAGACCCACCAAGCACAGAGTCTACCATTGGTTTAGTGCTGAAAAAATCGTCAGATATTTAAGCAATATAGGCCTCCCTCCGCGACTTAACTTTCTGTAAGTACATAAAATATTAACAAAAATAGCCAAAACCACAATTAGTCGATGATAGAAAAATATTTTTTTCACTTGCTTTTCAAAGCAACCAGCAAACACAGTGATATCTGGAAGGGATTAGAGAAGTTCCAGCCATTATCATGAAATTAATTTAATGTTATCTGAAATCGGTCAATTTTCATCGTATACAGTGGGTACTAATCTCGAATCTCGTTTATGCTGTAAACTTCGCAAATTCCACAATAGTTTTCAACTGAAATATCAACACTTGCCTAAAAGATGCGTTTCGACCTAGGGCACTGAATATGTATTGCTGGTTATCACTTACTTTATACTGTCACTCAGTGGGGTGCAGTATTATTTTTGGTAAGGGAAGCTGTGGTATCTAATAAGCGAACTGATAGCAATCAACTCACCAAAATTTAGGTCACTTATTGAGTCAATAAGGTCGTTTTGTATTCTGTTCGATAAACCTGTAAATACTGTACTGTTCTCAAGGTGAACATTGAGTTTATAATCACATTTTCTCAACAAGTGAACTAACTCCACATAATTACCTCGGTCGATAGAATCCACGCTTTCGTCATGACCACGGAGGGCAAGTGGCCTCTTTCCTAAATGGCAGATGATATCAATCAAGCGTTTCATTATTTCTCTATTTTCTTTCACATTTTCATTCTGCTGTAGTATCGTCAGGCGCTTTTGATTGTCAAGTTGACAGTCAATTCGAGATTTCCCAAACATAACAAGTTGCACTGTTGAAATAATGTGAGTCTGAGAGTTCTCATGTCGTTTCAATGCTTTATGAAGGTTGTTGATGTCACCAAACCCAGTCTTGTTCCATACATTTTCTTCATTGAAAAACAATAGGCATGGCCAACAAAAAAATGTTCCTATATTACGGCATCCGGATAGCCACTCTGTTTTAGAATACTGTTCCAAATTAAATTTCCTCACACATAATTTGGTTTGTGCTTTAAGTTCTGGCAAATCGCATGTCAGTCGTCCTCTTTCTATAATTATTTTCTTTTCACTGTTTATTTTTTTAAGTTCTATTACATATTTCGTGGGCACCTGGGGTAAGGCGGAAGGGCCGTGAAGCTGACCACTCACCTCCAACTAGTGCCGAGGTCAAGAATACGTGAATCTATAAATCCTCTCCCTCACAAGTATTCTTGCTGTAATGGTTAATCAGTTAAGAGCAGGGACAAACTTACCTCTTCACTATACACGCTGATTGACAGTGTGATCAGTGAATAATAATATGGTAGGAAGCGGCCTGGACTAATTTGAGACAGCATTTGCCTGGAGGAGATGGCCGCTCCATAGCTCAAGCGGTTAGTCTCTGGCTTCCCACTGCGGCAGCCCGGGTTCGCTCCCGGGTCTGGTCAAGTGGGATATGTGGTGGACAAAGTGGCGCGGAGGCGGGTTTTCTCCTAGGACTTCGGTTTCCCCTGCCAATCTTCATTTCACCAAATTCTCCATCATCATAATCACCCTGGGCAGATACAATAGGCCAATCAGTGGCCCCCGTGCCGAGTGGACACAGACGTACTCCAACCCCCACTAGCGAATTTGCCTGGAGGAGGGATAGCGGTAGCATAGTTGGTTCAGGCACTATGCTACAAGCCGGAAGGTCGCTGGTTCCAGTCCCGATTAGGTGGATATTTTCAATTGACCTAATCCTTCCAGCCACACTATGGCCCTGGGGTCCACACAGCCTCTAACATAAACGAGTACCAGGAAACTTCCTGGGGGATAGAAGACGGCCGGCGCGCAAGGCTGACAAACTTATTGTCATCTGTGAGCCAACTGTCTAGAAGATGTGGGAGCCTCAACATCTCACAACCTATGAGCCTCCACGGCCTACTACAGAGACAGTTTTTCTTAACCTTTGCCTGGTGGAACTACGAAATAAGATGGAGAATCTCAGTAAGGATATTCGATCTCTGTTCCGAGTTCTGAAGTCGAGATCTCCGAGATACAAGATCTGTGTAACATAAGACGAATACAATGATGCCTGATTTGCAGACTGAAGAAACAACTTCAGACTAGACACTCGGAAACTGGTAGAACTTCATCAAGCTCCTCCTTCGCATTGACAGTTTACTAATATTCTTAAGAATGTTTTTTATAAGGCACTGGGAATAAATTTATGGTTTTAAATGGACAGTAACACGAACAATTTTGGGAAACACTGAACTACATGTTATGCTGTGAGTAAAGGACGAAAATGCATAGGCCGCATGCATAATAATGATAATCCACATTCTATTAACGTTTCCTCGTTCGCTACGCCTAGAATACAAATTCATGTCAACCTATTCGACTTCCTTCTTATGGAAAAGTTGAAAAAATTCACACTGTTTGAAATTTAGTTGAACAAGAATGGCACTGAAATATAAGGTTAACGCTTCAGTTGAAACTATTCCCAAACATTTCGTCTCTTGTGGGCATTTGTATTCATTATTTCTATGCAAACCGAAATAATGGAGGCACGCTATAAAGTGGTTGGTCTGGAAGTATACACAGAGAAAACTAAATAGGTTACATGCTGATGTCTCGTCACCAGAATGCAGGACAAATTAATACAATAAAATTCCGAAATTCTGATTTGAAATTCTCACACTTATAACTGTAAAGGTCACCGTTTATTTCTTTTCCGATTTGAAGCCGTGAAATCTGGTAGTGCTTTGTCAACTTTCTTTATTTTGATAAAAATTAATGCATATACAAAATTGGTCAATGCAATGCCCGTCAGGCACATGTAGCACATTCTTATAAATGCAGTCACCATTTTTAGTGTAGAATACGGAGCTAGAAGATCTTTCCCGGAACGTTGGCAATGATCTACCAGATGACACTGTGCACATTCCAGAAACTATCAATCGAAGTTAGTAACCTGTGAGAAATCGGCTAAACTTCGGATGTAGGGCCTTACTTGGATGAGGATGGAAAGTTCTCCCGTAATGATACAGTCTTTTGTTACAAACCTTCATTAACACAGTCTGCTACTTTGACTGCAAACAGCAGAAGCGGTAGTAAGAAAACGTATTTCTTCTAATTATCGTATGGCAGATAACAACCTGGCACTATGAAACTCGAAGGTTTGTCACGTCACAAAATTCAGTTCTAAACCAATTAAATCCGGTTCATATCACCGCAGTCTGTTTACACGAGATGAGTTTCGATACTATTCATTTGCCTCAAGAGTGGCTGGTGAGTTCTCCTACTGAAAAATGGGTGCTACTTTTACAGAACCATCTATATATCCTTTCTTGAATTTGATATTTTTAGGGACGTGAAGGTTCATGGGCTACTGTATTCTTCTGGGTAGTCATCTGAAGATGAAGACAATATGACCTCAGAAATTTTGGCAGACAACTAAGAAATAGTTAAAAAGTAAAGTTCTCCCTGTGATAAATTAATTAAGCACAACACCATGAAGGCGTAGGGAATAATAAAGGTATAGTTCCACCATTCGTGACCTCGGGACTAGATAGAAGTGAGTGGACAGCTTCACGCCCCGGCCGTTTTACCCCCGGGGAAACAGCCACCGATACCCATTGCATAGGAGACTGGATGGGTCCCAGAGCCGGTCTGGATGATATGGGGAAGGAAAGAACCTGTTGCCTCTACCGGGAACCGAGTCCCAACACCCCGGTCTCCGAGCCAACAGTATAATCGCTATAAGGACAGAAATATCCAGGCTAGCAGTAAAGAAAATGTCATTACAAACTTTTATTTTTAATTATTCCATTTTTTTTTTATTTGGACCATACCTGAGCAGCTGCAATATATTTCGTAAGAAACTGCTAGGTCTTCACTTCAAAAGGCTGCTAAGTTAGGCCTGCGCTCTCTGCATTACACTCGCAACCGCAGGGGCAACAGGAATATTGCCTTTCGTCGCAAATCTCGGATCAGCTCCGGGGGTCCACCTATTGTCGTGTGATCATTCTCTGGGGGAGGGGGAGTAAAGTGGTCGTAACGTGAAGACAGTGTTTCAGTCTGAACCACGGTAGAGGTTCAGAAGCTTCAGTAGATCTGTGCATAGACGCAGCAACAACATCACCTTTATCATACCTTCAATATGTGATTCTTCTGTCTAACTGGTGTGTAATTAGCGTAGTCGGTATAGCGACTGGCTACGGCCTGGACGACCAAGGGGTCGGAATTCGAGTCCAGGTGCAAGCTAGAATTTTCAACTCTCCGGCTCATCAAGACCGATTCTGGGGCCCAACCAGCCCACTATCCTGTAGGTACCGGGGGCTCTTTCACCGGGAGTAAAGCGGCAGGGGCGTGAAGCTGATCACTCACCTCCAACCAGTGCCCAGTGCTAAGCACAGGGACATCTT